AGAGAGAGAGAGAGAGAGAGAGAGAGAGAGAGAGAGAGAGAGAGAGCAATTTACCTGTGTCCGTTTGCTGAAGAGGGGCTGAAACACATTTCTGTTGCATATTAACACCCTCTGGATATAATTTCGGTGCTACCCCCATTCGGGCAATTTTAAAATGTAAACACTGAATAGCCTTGAATGGCCGCGAATGACCCGGCGGTACATCACGAACAAATTGTGAGGCAGTTTTCGCCACTGAATAATATTTCTCATTTAAATACCGACGACTCACCTACTTATCTTATGAGTGAAAATACAGACATATTCATTTAAATCCAAATTAATGTTCCAGAATAAGAAATTGAATCCCTATCAATACATATAGAGATAAGTAAAGTTATCTCCTCTACGTCCCTTCAATTTTTGGAGTTATGTGAACTTATCTCCATTTACATTAATAGGAAATTAAAAGTAACGGATATCTCTTTATTTATTCGTCATGCAATTTCGAAAAAAATGAAGTTACCTCAGTTTTGAGGCTTTCGCGGCCATTATTAATGACTTGGTTGGCTTCCGGATGGATGCCGCGTTGAGTTTCAGCATTGCGTCGACGTTTCGCAAACATTGCAGTCTGCATCTTCAGGGCTATGAGCTCCGATTCTGAGCTCCGATGTGTGGGAGCAGTCCTTATATACCTTCCCTTGTGGTGGTGGGGGAAGGGGAAGGGGGGGGGAGAGTCAGCCAATCATATGTTTTTAATTGATCAGCTGGTCAATTAAAAAACCGGGAGGACGGTTTTCCAAATGGGGTTCACTTGATATCCTCTGTCCCTGTTGAGGTTGTTAGGGTTTTTATGGATCTCCAAACCCTCTCGGTATTTCCTTTCGAAATACCCTTGAGACTTGGCCAGCATTTTGGCTTGGTCGTAGTAGATAGTATGTCCAGTATCCATCCAATGTTCAGCCAGGGCAGACTGTTCTAAGTGACCGTATTTGGAGCACCGCTGGTGTTCTTTGATCCGTGTACTGATCTTCCTCCCGGTTTCTCCAATGTACACTTTCCCGCATGAGCAAGGGATCTCGTACACTCCTGGTGTACTCAAGGCTGGTCTTGGATCCTTCGCGCTCGGCAGCATCTGTCCGATCTTCTTTGGGGGTTGGAAGATCGTTCGGATGTTATGTTTACCGAGTACTCTGCTGATGCGTTCTGTTGTGCCTCTCAGATAGGGGAGGAGGGCCATTTTAGGTCTTTCCTGGTTTTCCTCAGGAACAGTCTCCTCTTGGAGAGATGAGAGCTTGCTCTGTAGCTTTTGCTTGACCTTTCGAATTTGTTGGATGTTATACCCATTCGTGGTCAGAGCTGTCTCAAGATGTTCAACTTCACTGTCAACGTTTGAGGGTTGAGAAATTGTAAGTGCTCTATACATGAGAGAGCTGATAACGGAGTGTTTCTGGGAGGGGTGGTGATGGGAGGTAGCATTGAGATACCTGCCTGTGTGTGTTGGCTTGCGATATACTTGGTGGCCCAGAGTGCCATCCTCGTTGCGCCGAACCAGAACATCCAGAAAAGGAAGACATCTGTCCTGCTCAATTTCCATGGTGAACTTGATGCTCGTGTGCTGATTGTTCAAGAACTCCAGGAATTGGGTTAGACCAGTCTTTCCATGTGGCCAGATGACAAAGGTATCGTCCACATATCTGAACCACACAGAAGGTTTCTGAGGTGCTGACTTCAATACTTCGTTCTCAAAGTGTTCCATGAATATATTTGCAATAATCGGGGAGATGGGAGAACCCATTGCTGCTCCTGATTTTTGCTCATAGAATTCTCCTTCGAACTGAAAGTATGTAGAAGTCAGGCAGTGCTCAATTAAGGGAAGGAATTGGGAATAAATGTTATTGGAATTCTTGATGATTTCCAAGGTTTTTGAGATTGGGACGTTAGTGAAGAGTGATTCTACATCGAAACTAACTAAGATATCATCTGGAGAAGTCCGAAGATTTCTAAGTTTGTTGACGAAATCTAGTGAGTTCTGAATGTATGAACCGTTCAGGCCAGTCAACTTTTGGAGTGGTTTCGTGAGAAACTTGGCCAGCTGGTAAGTTGGCGGTCCACTGTTACTGACAATGGGACGGAGAGGAACAGACTCTTTATGGATTTTGGGGAGTCCATAGAGTCTAGGAGGGAAGGACTCTTTAGGAGTGAGGAATTTCGTCAAGTCAGCGGAGAGACCAGCCTTCCTCAGGAGATCAACAGTTTTTCGCTCAATTGTACGAGTAGGATCCTTCCTGAGCTTGACGTAAACTCTGGAGTCACCCAACATCGCACTGAGCTTACCGGAGTAGTCGTCCTT